TGGTTGAACTGCGGGAAACTCCTGCGTAGAGTTGCGCGTAGTTCTAATTCCAGTATCCTCATCGCCAGAGTCGCTTGGGCTCCTTTCTTGCTCCTTTGGTTAAAGGGATCTCCAGGAGTTACCGGGTGGGTACCCCATAAGGTTCGCCAGAGAGGCTATCAAGTAAAAAGCCAAACCACAACCCACCTGAACAATTCCTAGAGTTTCGAGTTCTTGATGAGCCCCCTAGTCGTGAGATGCCCGGAGCCTATAGAAACCCCAACCCAAATCCGTCGATTTATCGGCCCGAGGGTCTGAAGACTTGGGGCTTGGGGAGTTTGAGTGTCCGTAGGCAACCCTCAGCACGGAGGCATAGTTGAGAAAACAGTTCTAGGATACATTCGAGTCTCCAGCCTCTTGAATGTGAAGATCAAGCATTCTTAGCTGGAGTTTCTTTGAGAGATGTATGCACCTCGAAAGATGTCGAACATATGAGCGAACATCCTTCTTACAATGGGCTTTGGCTTTGGAGCAACTATAGCGTTGTAGCATAGCACTTGGTCTTCACTGATGGTTTTTCCTGTGGCGGCACAGAAAGCTTGAGTGGTGAAACTTTTCAGTCGGCAGTGACATCACCTGTGAGTTCCACTGTGCTACCAGTACTGCCACAGTTGCCAAACCTGATGCCATGCTAAGCCGTTCAAGCCTGCGCACCCAGCCTCTCATTCGGCCGTATACCGGCTCAATCTGAACACAGGGCAACAGGGTTCAAGGTCTCCAAGGAGAGATGTAGCTGTGAAGAAGCTAGATGCCCTTACCAGTGCATGAGTCTGTCTGTGCCATCGTTCGGGACCCGACGCATGGACACCCCGCAACACGCAAGGGATGCCTATCGAGAAGTATTTCAGGTATGCAGCAGGAGTAACGAGAGATATGTATGTCTAAAGCAAGAACGTCAACCCCGAAGGACAAGAGACGAGCAGAAGCTGCGCAAACGTAAAGGAGACTTTGAGTCGTGGCCCCAAACCTCGCTGGTGCACATCCAAGCCAAGCTTTTCCTGAGTTTTTGAAACCGCCTCATTGCGGCACCCTGCTATGACTGGGTACTCATGTTGCAAAAGAGCCATGGCAAAGCTGTAGCATTTGAGCAGGTTTTCCTGTCACAGGGGTTTGCAGGTTGGCGGAGTGCGGCTCTGGACACCAAAGAAGACATGATTCCTCAGCCTCACAGGGGTCAGGAAGACGCTGTCTAGGTCCTAAGCATCACAGGAAGCATTGGCCGTGGGAGTCGACATACACCAGAAGGTGAAGACCTTCGGAAGCCTTAAACAGTAACACCCCCCAAAAGGCTATTTAAAAGAAGAAGCCTTAACAAGACATGTTGGTCAGAAAGCCCCATTGTGCTTGTTAGTGCAGCTCGAAGCTTGCAAGACACGGTAGATGGCATGTGGAGCCGCACTGCGGCTTAAAAAGAAAGAGGTTCGAGGTAAAGTCCTCTTGATGGTGCTGAGCTGCAATCTCGTGTTGAGCCCGATGGGAATATCGTGATTCCAGGACTTTACGTAAACTAAACTCAGGGTAAACTACAGGGCGAAGTAACTCCCTCGCACTAGAACACATGTTCTTGTTTTTCCAGTTGACAGGTTGATATCTCAGCCATGCTCGTTGAATACAACTTCTTGTTGATGACTCCTAAGCGAACCGTGAAACCACAACAACATGTAGTGTAAAAGCCTGCCACTGCAAAGCCGATGCATCGCGCACCAGATGTGCTATCAAGTTGGCAGCAGCGACCTCAGTGACTGGGGTGGCTAAGGGTTTAGGGTTTAGGGTTTAGGGTTTAGGGTTTAGGGTTTAGGGTTTAGGGTTTAGGGTTTAGGGTTTAGGGTTTAGGGTTTAGGGTTTAGGGTTTAGGGTTTAGGGTTTTGGTTTTAGGGTTTAGGGTTTAGGGTTTAGGGTTTAGGGTTTATGGTTTAGGGTTTAGGGTTTAGGGTTTAGGGTTTAGGGTTTAGGGTTTAGGGTTTAGGGTTTAGGGTTTAGGGTTTAGGGTTTAGGGTTTAGGGTTTAGGGTTTAGGGTTTAGGGTTTAGGGTTTGGGGTTTAGGGTTTAGGAGTGTTGATGGATTCAGGGGCTTCGAAGCTTCGAGGGCTACGGGTGAGGGTGCTCAACAACTCAGATTTAAAGCAGGCCGGTGTATCCTCTGCCTATCAACCTCGGGCTCTGATATTGCCGGCGGCAACACCTTCATCTCCCACCTCCGCTCTGTGCCACCTCTTTTCAGAAGCCCGTGCGCGGAACAGGCTCAACTCTGGACTTCAGAACGACATGAAAGAGCTCCCAGAGAGCTTCCGCACTGCACACCCTGCGGGGTTGCGTGGGTTTGGGGGGTTGAGGGTTTAGGGTTTAGGGTTTAGGGTTTAGGGTTCAGGGTTCAGGGTTCAGGGTTCAGGGTTCAGGGTTCAGGGTTCAGGGTTCAGGGTTCAGGGTTCAGGGTTCAGGGTTCAGGGTTCATGGTTCAGGGTTCAGGGTTCAGGGTTGAGGGTTGAGGGTTGAGGGTTGAGGGTTGAGGGTTGAGGGTTGAGGGTTGAGGGTTGAGGGTTTAGGGTTTAGGGTTTAGGGTTTAGGGTTTAGGGTTTAGGGTTTAGGGTTTAGGGTTTAGGGTTTAGGGTTTAGGGTTTAGGGTTTAGGCCACTCCAACCCAAAGCCACAACCCAACATGCTTTGCACCAGAGTACGCTTCACGCACATGCCTTAAGTGCCGGTTGTATGCAAAACTGTGTGAAGCGAGTGGTAGTCCTTGTAAAACCCTTGTGGCCCTGGCCTTGGCCAGCGTAGCTCACGCGCCATGTCTGCGGCCGATCGCCCGGCCCTGTTGCAGCGTGGGTCAGATGGGGGTTTACGATAACCAGGAACCCCTAATATGGACCCCCCACTAGTTGGATCCCACCCTAAACCCTAAACCCTAAACCCTAAACCCTAAACCCTAAACCCTAAACCCTAAACCCTAAACCCTAAACCCTAAACCCTAAACCCTAAACCCTAAACCCTAAACCCTAAACCCTGAACCCTGAACCCTGAACCCTAAACCCTAAACCCTAAACCCTAAACCCTAAACCCTAAACCCTAAACCCTAAACCCTAAACCCTAAACCCTAAACCCTTACCATAAGGACCCCAGATTGTAAACCCCAGATAGTTTCAGACGGTTTAAGTAAGGCTCAGTCGGCTCCACCTCAGAGCTGTGTTGGTTCAAGAACTCAGGGTTGCTTTGGAGTCCAAAGGGCTCCTAAATTCATAAAGGACTCAAAGTTTGCAAGCGGCTTTGTTTCCACGGGTTAGGCTATATTTCATGTGTATACCCCGCCCCCTCCTCCCCCCAGAAACAACTGAGACCGAAACCTCGAGAAAAAACCTGGCAGGAGCCACGATCCCGAGTGCAGACACGTGTCACGTACGCGGCAATCAAAAGACACGCGGTGCACGACACGAAAACCGAAGTGAAGTGTGTTATCCGTCTGTCCCTATCTCGCACTCTCTCTTTCTTTCTGCACACCGCGCACCTTTAACCCCTCCCCATTGGGAGGGGCCGCCCGATCTCTTTGCTTGCTTGCTTGCACAGCGTATGACCCCTACTGGGGCCGCCCCGGAGGGCACCATGCCAAAACGTTGGGTCCGTTGGGTCTCCGAAGCTACAGCTCGATTCGCGCCACTGCGGACGCTTTCGAACGCTTTCGGACGCTTTGCGAACACGAAACGCACGATGCGACGCAAACTCCCTAACCCCTGAAATCCACTTCTTAAAGCGGGAACCCTCCGCTACGCATTCGGGAAGAGCCTAGGGCCAACCTCTGGCAGGGGGCCGGCAATTGATTGTGAAGGTGGAAAACCCTATGGCGCCCTGGCAAAAACTGTCTTTAAATATGCGCCTACAAGCATGACTTTTGTTGGCTGCCACAATCTCTGAGCTCCCGTCGCGTCTTTGATCTTCGGATTGGCCCGATGGTCCTGTCGATAGAAACATCGGGCGCAACTCTGGTTCTCCAGGCATGTTCCCGCTCCTAGTCTTATAGGGTTTGGGGGTTTGGGTTTAAGTTTTTAGGGATAGTCTAGCACAGGAAACCAGGAGCCCAAAAGTTGCTGCAAAAATTCCTATGTCCTGCCTGTGGAAGGCTACCTGATCTACTACTTGCGCACGGCCTTTGCGATGCGAGTTGTGATCTTAGGCATATGGCACTGGAAACCCCTGGAACAACCCTAAACCCTAAACCCTAAACCCTAAACCCTAAACCCTAAACCCTAAACCCTAAACCCCTGTCACAAACTGCATCCTGAGATGCTCCAAGGTCTAAGCACTCAGGGCGATTCCCGATAAGGCCACAAAGATCAGACGAGATTAGTTTCTACAACCCTAAACCCTAAACCCTAAACCCTCGACCCTAAACCCTGATGGTTCAAGGACCATGCCATGGGCCGTGGTTCTGCGAGCTTCTCCATGGGTGCGCTCAGAAACTACAGGCAAACGGGGGGCGGGGGGGGGGGGGGGGGGGGGGGGGCTAACTGAGGGTTTCCGAAATTAGGGTTTTGGGTTTAGGGTTTAGGGTTTAGGGTTTAGAGTTTAGGGTTTAGGGTTTAGGGTTTAGGGTTTGGGGTTTAGGGTTGAGGGTTGAGGGTTTGGGGTTTGGGGTTTGAGGTTTGAGGTTTGAGGTTTGGGGTTTCCGAAATTCGGGGTGCCTTACTTGGGGTCCTTATTGGAAGGGCATCCTACTATGTGGGGGTCTACATGTTAGGGGCCCCTTATTGTCGTAAACTCCCACTTGCTGGGCGCACCAGCAGGAGCTCCACCAACTTCTCAAGGCCGGGCCTCTCACCCATGGACAGCGCGCCTCGGTTCAACTGGGGTAGGTTTGTGGGCCCTACGTATATTCTTGTAAGGCTAAACCCTAAACCCCAAACCCTAAACCCTATTAGGGGATTAAGGGGAATTTAAACTATGTTCAAACCTACCCCGGTAACGGTGAAGACGCTGCGTCAGTTTTCTTCGAACTACCAAATGCGCCCCCGCTTGCAGTGCGCTGAGCGCATGGGACACACATGATGACCTCATAAAAGCCCTACGACCTCGAACCCAGAACCCGAAATCACGAACCTCTCTCCTTGCCTTGAGGTCTTGAAGTTCAGTGTTTTGGATTTCGGTTGTCAGTTTCGGGAACAGGGTGTAGGGTTGAGGAATCGAGTTTCGGAGACTAATATTGTTCGTTTTCAGTTTCGGTAGCTGGTAGGGTTTAGGCTTTAGGGTCGAGGTTTTGGGCTTCAGTGTTAAAACATCCAAGCAGGGTTTAGTGTTTAGGGTTTAGAGTTTAGGGTTTAGGGTTTAGGGGGTTTAGGGGGTTTAGGGTTGCTCAGCTGAGGGCTTGTAAGAGCCTAAGGGGCTAAGATGGCCCTTACAACCCTCCGAAAAATATTCCTGGCTTTGATCCTCTGACAAACCCAATAAGGGAAAAAATAGAATGTCCCTAAACCCTAAACCCTAAACCCTAAACCGTAAGCTTCAGGATGACCGCCGAGGTGTATTGACATCGGACGCGTTTAGGGATTGGGGCTGGCGGACATTCACTTCATTTGTTAACTCGCAGGGCTTCTAGTTGAGGTGTTGGGTTTCAGTAGTGACCCTAAACCCTAAACCCTAAAAAAAGGAATTGAGGTGTTGGGTTTCAGTAGTAGGCTTCAGTCAGGGTTGAAGCATTGAGTTTCCGTCTTGCGGTTTACGGCTTGGAGCGCTTCTGTGCTGATTGGGCCAGAAGTGCACTAATGTTAGGCAGAATGTGTGTTAGTGTTAGGGTTGGAGGGTTGACGCTTAACTACCCAATAAGGTTTAGGGTTGGGGTGTCGAGCTTCAGAAATTGAATTGGTTTTCGGGTTTGGGGGTTGCAGGGCTTAGGCTTCAATAAACTTTTGGGCTCCAGAATAAGGGCCAAAAAGAGAACTCACATGAGCGTGTCGTTCTTTGTATTGGCTGTGGATGTGTTGAATGACTGGTTTAGGTTTGAGCACAGCTAGTAAAGCCTGAACCCTCAACCCACCTGCTGTGACCAAATGATTAGAGGCTTTGCCCAAGCGTTCCAAGCGTCTCAAGCGTTTCAAGTGCACCATGTGGCTCAAGTGCTCCAAGTGTTCCGTGTGTTCAGTCCCATCAAAGGGCATCCCAAGATCTCCAAGACCCTTCAAAAAGCAATCCAAGCCCACAAATCCCCAGAGGCCGAAAGGCAGACAAGGACATCCCTGCCATGTTTCCGCGCCCCGCAGTGCTTAGGCCAGTGCAAGCACTGTTTGGGGAAAAGATGATGGAAACAAATCCTCCCTCCTGTCCGAACTGCCGGGGCCCCAGGCGGTGAAGCGGCGTGGTCTGTGCTCCAGGCAGGCCCTGGAGCACCCGAAGACTCAGAGCTTGGGCCCTGTAGTGCACGGTTTAGGGTTTAGGGTTTAGGGTTTAGGGTTTAGGGTTTAGGGTTTAGGGTTTAGGGTTTAGGGTTTAGGGTTTAGGGTTTAGGGTTTAGGGTTTAGGGTTTAGGGTTTAGGGCCCTATAGATAGGGACTCCTGTGAACGGTTCCAGATTCAGTGTGTAAGAGGATTTATGCTTTCAGTCCGGGCCCACTCTCCAGGTTGAATGTGGCAAACCCAAAACGCACCCAAAAAGACCACTCACCCTTCAGCCGGGGCAGCCAGTGGCCTCAGCACGAGCGCCGTGCAAGAGAAGAAGATCTGCCATGCCCAGGTGGCCGGCCAGGCAGGCCTGGCAGATGTGGAGTCGGTTTAGGGTTTAGGGTTTAGGGTTTAGGGTTTAGGGTTTAGGGTTTAGGGTTCAGGGTTTAGGGTTTCGGGTTTAGGGTCAAGGGTCTAGGGTCTAGGGTTTAGGGTCTAGGGTCTAGGGTTATTGGCTTCGTACAAGCAGGCATGTTCTGCGTCTGAGCTGACCACGGCCGCCTCCTTGCAGTGCACCTCGCGTCACATTTTGCAGAGCCTGCGGCTCCACGACGGCCCAAGGCTCCGCGAACATCTGCGAAGTTCCCGCGTCCGCTTGCAAGGTTACCACCTCCCGCCGGTCCCACTCAGACCCCACCCAGGAGCGCAAAGTTCCAAACCACGTCTCGAGAAAATCTACGCGTTTTGGAACACAGGGCCCTGTCGGCCATGCTCCTGGACAGGTTCAGCGGCAAAGGCGTTGGCCTTGAGTACTTCAAGGCCATACAGGGGCGCAGGAAAACCGGCATAGTTTAGTCATCTCTCATACAACCCGGCGCAAGATGACCAAAATTCCCTGCCAACTGAAGGCAACGAAGAGACTCTGCAATCCTGACCTCCTGCCGAGGACCAGCATCATTCGCCGATCGCCGAATTAATTTGGTTCTCGACGATACGACTCTCAGGCATTGACTTGCCCGATTGATTGTGGCGCAACTGGCGTGGTGGAGAGAACCGCATCTGGGCCTCAGGTTGTCCTGACTTGGTGGAGCACGTCGTGTGCTGCCACTGGCTTGGTGCCATGCCACCACAACACGTGAAAGGCTTCCGAACTTCTGAGCGAGGTCATGAAGACACTTCCCCAAGAAAAGCTGATGTGACAAGCGCAAGTCTTCAGCTGGAGACCTACCAGCTGTCCCACTTCAGAACAGATACCGTGTGAAGCGCAACTGGCCCTATGACTACCATAATACTAAGCGTTCGTGTCTACCAGCCCGGAGCCTTCCCGGAACCCCGAGGCCTTTTCCAATGGCGAAGCGCCCCGCTCGTCGCAGCTGTCTGGGTCGACACGAGCCCTGGGTGACTTCTGATTTGCGGAGGTGAAGGGGTTTGAGGTTAAGGGGGTTTGGGGATATTCCTGATTGTCTTGAACATGTTGTTTCCGTGCAAAGTTCAAGCCTTGTCTGCATGCCGGGGGGACCGCTTTTCACTATGGTGCAGAGATTGAAGCTACAGGAGCATACCGTGACATCGACTAGTTGGTTGTTGAGTGCTTTGCCAAAGCTGGAACATTCAACTGGTCCGCAGTCGATATCAAGCCCGCCCTTGGTCCAAGACGACCTCAGGCGAAACTTGGTCCTCTCTTGCGCGCACTATGCTGCACCCCCAGTACGGCCAAAACCCCCTAAAAAAGGCCGCAAGCAAGGATCCATGGCTGCCCAAAGTGCAGCCAGCGTGCTCCAGCAGCGCGCGGACTCGTGCAACCTCAGCCAATGAGTCCCAACGAAGTATGCGCAAACCCTCTGTTGTATGGCAGCAAAATGGACATTCCGCTTCCACAGTTGTTAAGTTTCAATCCGTGTTTGCGACTTAAGCTTGGGGCTACGGAAATGTGGAAATGGAAGAGCAGAGAGGCGGTTTCTGATATGTATGCGTATATACATGTGTATATATAGATAATAATAATGCGTATATATATATATATACTACTTGAAAAGAAAGACTGATTCGGAGATCAGCCTTGATTTCATCCTCAATCTCAGCCACTATCTTGAGGGCTGGCCGATGCTCCGACTCTCAAAGCTGAGCCCGTGAGCGAAACTTGGGTATGTCCCAAAATAGGGGTACCCTTATTTTACCGCAAATATTGTAGAATCCCCTTCAAAGGATCCCCAAAAGGGGTACTCCTTTTTTCGGGAAACCCCCACTTGGCTCCGCGCATCTCCGTTGGAGGCGGCAGAGTGTAGGATCAGCACGTTCTGCGCGGCGAGGACATTGATTCTGATTGACAATGCTGACTATCCAAGACCCCAGAATACTTCTCCACCGGAGAAGAACAAACGTTTCTGATTTGGGTTCAGAGCCGGTTTGTCCTCAACGAAGTCGCTTTTCGGGTCCATGCATTACACAGTGGAGTGCATGGTTGAGGATGTCGATTTGGGCTAAGGGCAAAAAGTTTGGAGAGGCCGCCCCGCTTGGCGCACCAGATCAGCCATGTCAGGGTCCGTCGCGTAGCCTGAAACCACCTGAGTGCAAGGTGTCGTTGAAAGGTTTGCAGAGCGTGTTCGAGAGATCCTGTGGGACACGGTTTCCATACCCGTACCCTAAGGGCAGAATCTGGAGATGTCGTGAGGCCAGGACTCGAGCGTGTAGTGGAAGACAGGGTTGGCACCCACGAGTCTCTCAAATCTTACCCTCCCAACTTCAGGATGTTGAGGGTTGCTGCGCTTTGCGGATTTGAGTGATGTAAGTAATTCAAGAAGTTTAAGTAATTTAAGTAGCTTAAGTAATTCAAGTAATTTAAGTGCTCAGGGCGTGTGCGGGTCTGAATCGGGGTGGAAGATCGGAGGCACTATCTCTGCAGCTGCATCTGAGGCTGTGAAGTTGCTGCGATCGTCACCCCTTGACACTAAGAACGTCCAGTACGACACTTGGCTGCACTTAGGAGGGTAGCTATAAATTAGAATTCTGAGCTGCCTTATGAAGAAACCCAATAAGCCCAAAAAGGCTAAGAATCTCAAGTTACAGTAAAGCACCACAAAGGACAAAGACCTCTAAACCCCAAATGCATCCAAATACGATGACACTCAAAGCCCTGAAAAACCATGTGCAGATGACGCAACTTCATGCCCAACTGGTGGTGCACGGTTTCTCGGGGTATTTTCTGGGGGCCCTTATTATCAGGGGAGCCGACTCTTTGGGGGTCGATAATTATTAGGGAGCCCCTCTTTTCGCAAACCCCCCAAATGCCACAACGTTGCGCGCTGGGCTGCTCTGGCGGGCATCGCTGGCCTCGCAGTGCCCAGGCAGGCTAAACCCTAAACCCTAAACCCTAAACCCTAAACCCTAAACCCTAAACCGGACCCCCTCGGGCAGCTGCCTCTGCCCGGCCCAAAACCTTCAGCTGCGAGTCTCAAATGCTGCTGTATAACAGCTTCTGGCTTTGAGCATATGCACACATGCACAGATACTCTACAGTAAAGCCACCAAAACGGCTAACGAACCCAATGGAACCCAAACCCCAACCAGACCTCAACAGAATCACTCAACATATCTAAAATAAGCTCATGTTTTGGACAACCTCACAATGATTTCCGCAAGCCGCAAGCCTGGCCGGCACGTCTGGCACCTCCACCGCTGGTACTGACAGATCTGGTAGCTCCTCTGCTCGAAATCAAGCTCTTTCTGTTCCTTTTTGCTGGCTATGGAGACGTTAGGCTTTGGGGATTTAGGCTACTAGGTTGCGAGGGTCGCATAACCTCAAAACGACAGCAAGATTGTCCAAAGGGCTTTGCTCAGCCAACCTGCTTAAAAGGCTTGGGGCTGAAAAGCCCTGGGCTTAGGGTTGAGACAGCTTAGGGTCCCTAACCCAAAACCTCGGTCGCTAGATTATTTGTATCTGTTTGCTCAGCTGGAACTTTCATTGTTGCTTGCCTGCGACCTGCTCCTTTTTCGGGCGCTGGAGCCCCTATCGGGCTTGAAAGCAAACAAAACGGATTCCCAAGCCTCGTCAGCCTAATTACGTAGAGAAACTATGGCAAGCCCAAACCCCTGAAAGGAGATGTTGGGTGGCAATTCCTAAGCCCTAAACGGGGGGATGCGGCTAGACTCTAAACCCTGGAAGCAGGAGACCCTAAATCTCCCAAAAGGACATGTGGTAGGGTTTGGGGTTTAGGGTTTCGGGTTTAGGGCTTGGGGTTTGGGGCTTGGGGCTTCGGGTTTGGGGTTTGGGGTTTGGGGTTTACTCCGCGCTGTCTCTGAGTCTGAGCAACTGAGCGCGACTGCACTGTGAATTTGGGGTTTGGGGTTTGGGATTGGAGTTTGGGGTTTGGGGTTTGGGGTTTGGGGTTTGGGGTGTGGGGTTTGGGGTTTGGGGTTTGGGGTTTGGGGTTTGGGGTTTGGGGTTTGGGGGGTTTGGGGGGGTTTGGGGTTGGGGTTTGGGGTTTGGGGTTTGGGGTTTTGGGGTTTGGGGTTTGGGGTTTGGGGTTTGGGGTTTGGGGGTTTTGGGGTTTGGGGTTTGGGGTTTTGGGGTTTGGGGTTTGGGGGTTTGGGGTTTGGGTTTGGGGTTTGGGGTTTGGGGGTTTGGGGTTTGGGGTTTTTTGTTTGGGGTTTGGGGTTTGGGTTTTGGGGTTTGGGGGTTTGGGTTTTGGGGTTTGGGGTTTTGGGGTTTGGGGTTTGGGGTTGGGGGGGTTTTGGGGGGGTTTGGGGTTTGGGGTTTGGGGGGGTTTGGGGTTGGGGGGTTTGGGTTTGGGGTTTGGGGTTTGGGGTGGGTTTAGGGTTTAGGGTTTGGGGTTTGGGGTTTGGGGGTTGGGGTTTGGGGTTTGGGGTTTGGGGTTTGGGGTTTGGGGTTTGGGGTTTGGGGTTTGGGGTTTGGGGTTTGGGGTTTGGGGTTTGGGGTTTGGGGTTTGGGGTTTGGGGTTTGGGGTTTGGGGTTTGGGGTTTGGGGTACCCTAAAACCTAAGACATGTGGCAAACCCTAAAAGCTGATGTTGGGGTGGCACTCCCGGAACCCTGCAAAAAGATGTTGGGCGGCAACCTCGAAGCCATCAAAACAAAAACTAAAGGATTTAGGGTTTAGGGTTTAGGTGTTAGGGTTTAGGGTTTGGCCAGTGCGGCTGATTTCAGGTAAGCTCTAAACCCTAGAAGGTGACATGGTGGGAAGACAGTTGAACACCCCCAAAAGTCACCACTAAGCAGGGTGTTTTGCTACCCCTTCGATGGATCATGGCGTTTCGAAGCGAGCAACGCAAGCTGCACTATGCAGCTTGATCGAGAAGCCCGGAAAGTTAAGCACGCTGCTGTTCAGCCCAACCGCTCAGCAGGGCTTAGGTTAAGCCTAAACCCTAAACCCTAAACCCTAAACCCCAAACCCGAAACCCTAAACCCTAAACCCTCGACCCTAGACCCTAGACCCTAAACCCTAAATAAACCAAACCTGTAGTTTGGGTCCCTAACCCGAAGCCCCGTGGTCGCATGAGATCCTACGCCAGGGGAGATAGGTCTGCTTTCTTTGGCACCGTGCTTCAGAGTCGGCCGTAAGGAGTTGTGGTTTCCTTTGCGCGTAGGACATGGCAGAGCGCTGTGGAGGCCGTGCAAGCAGGGAGGCTTGGCAGCTCCAAGCCGAAACTCTCCTGCAGTAAACTCCAAAAAGTTGGAACATCCTTATCCTCATACCCCAAAAGGTATACCAAAGGGAATCCCATCTCTAATCATCCTGAAACTTTCTGGAGTTTAGTGTGCCTAAAACCTAAACCCTAAACCCGAAGCCCTAAGCCCTAAGCCCTGAACCCTAAACCCAAACCCTAAACGCTAAACCCTAAACCCTAAACCCTAAACCCTAAACCCTAAACCCTAAACCCTAAACCCTAAACCCTAAACCCTAAACCCTAAACCCTAAACCCTAAACCCTAAACCCTACAGCGGCCGATAGGTTTGGGATCCCAGCCCGTCCTGAACGCGTGCGGAGGAGGGGACTGCCTCCGCCGGCCTGGAGTTCGGGGATCCTTTAAACCCTAAACCCTAAACCCTAAACCCTAAACCCTAAACCCTAAACCCTGAACCCTGAACCCTGAACCCTAAACCCTAAACCCTAAACCCTAAACCCTAAACCCTAAACCCTAAACCCTAAACCCTAAACCCTAAACCCTAAACCCTAAACCCTAAACCCTAAACCCTAAACCCTACTCTTGGGTTTTCGTTGCTGGTTTTCGGGGGGCTTCTCTTGGTTTTCGGGCTCTTTTTGGTTGGAGCGGGTAGGTTCATTACGTCTCTGGCGACCTCAAGCCCGGACTCGGGCGCACACGCCCACAGCCTAGGGGATAGGATTAGGGGGACCCTTGGGGATATAGACCCTCTGAATAAGGTCCCTGCTTAAGAGAGCCAGAAGAGGGTTCAGAAGGGGTTCCCTTTTAAGGGTCCCCCTCATCCTACCTAGGATGCCCCACGGTCGAAAGCTTCAACTCTGAACGCTCAGGCACGTTCATCTTGCCCTGGGTTCATTCCACAACCAAAAAAACGTTGTAACCGCCATAACCCCAAACTACTCACCCGAAACATTAAGCCCCTGACCCTAAACCCTGAACCCGAAACATCCGGAAACTCTAAACCCAGCGCAGCGCAACCCCCCAAAAACACGACAGCAACTATGAAGGCCGCAACCCAAAGCCGTGCAGCCCCAAAAGCCCCGAAAACCGCAAGGCCAAAGACCAAGGCAGCGCAGTTGCAAACCCAAGAACCTGCGCAATCGGAAATCCTTGGAAAAATGCCCGCAATGCTTTGTTTGAGCTTCAACATCCTTGGCGCGAAAACCTATGGTTCGTGTACTTTGGCACTTCCACACTTCCGCACTTCCAGAACTGCAGGTGGCTTGCTTTGCTTTCTCTTCTGGGCTCAAGGTCTTTCTGTCTACCTTCTTGCCTTGTGGCGTGTGCTCATGGCCCCACGGCGTCGTGCGTAGGGCTAACCCAGGACAAGCCACCGAACCCCAAATCCTAAACCCTAATGTTGGACCCTGTTTAGTAGGGGCCTCCTCTTTAAAGTCAATTTGGCCGAATTATTCAGGACCCCTTGACTGTTTGCGGGGTCCTCTTTAAAGTCAAATCGTCCGGGCGCCGGAAGAAATTCCACGTGGCGCGCCTTTAAAAAAGATAACCGGGCATCGCTGCCCCTTTAAACCAATCTAAACTCCTCCCTATTAAAATCATATAAGCCCCCGGGGCCGTGTAATCAGGATCCCATCCACGCCTCGACTGGACTGTTCAAGGGGGGGGGGGGGGGGGCCCTACAGATTAAAGAGGGTCCCACATTAAAAACCCTAAAAACCCTAAAAACCCTAAAAACCCTAAAAACCCTAAAAACCCCTAAAACCCCTAAAACCCCTAAAAACCCTAAAAACCCTAAAAACCCTAAAAACCCCTAAAACCCCTAAAACCCCTAAAACCCCTAAAAACCCTAAAAACCCTAAAAACCCTAAAAACCCTAAAAACCCTAAAAACCCTAAAAAACCCTAAAAACCCTAAAAGCCGTAAAAGCCCTAAAAGCGCTAAAAACCCCAAACCCTAAACCCTGCACTTGCAAGATCTTGTGAAGCTCCAGCCAAAAGCTGAACCGCCTCTGCAAAGGTAGAAGGCCGGCTGCTGGCAAGCACTCCTTTGACAAAACTTCGGCAGCTGGTACGTCAAGACGTGGGCAAGAAATACCCTAAACCCTAAACCCTAAACCCTAAACCCTGAACCCTTGCATCTACTGCTAGGGCTGAGTCAGAAGGCCTAAACCCTAAACCCTCAACCCTCAACCCTAAACCCTAAACCCTAGGTAGAGACGAAGTTGCAAGGTATCCAGAAGGCTCCATCATTGCAACCAGAAGCCTCCCTAAGCCGCTACAGTAAGGCCTTAAGCTGACCCTCCGCATGCCCCAAGAGCTTAGTGGAGTTCTCATTTTTGGGGGGTTTACGAAAATAGGGGGACCCCTAATAAAGACCCCCAAAACTGTTGATGGAGGAAACCTTGCACCACTTTAAATGGCCAAGCAAAGTAGAGACCCCGCGCCCCCTTCTTAATATTGACTGTTGATCCTCGGAAGTGCCGTGGGTTCCAATGACAAAAATCTTGCACCACCTCCGTATCCTTCATCGTCAATATTAAAAAGGGGGCGCGGGGATATGCTCATGTGTCGTGTAACTTGTTATTAATTAGGCGGTGAAAGATTACCTCCATCAACCGTAGTACGATCCCCTTATAATGGGACCCAACAAGGTAGGTACCCCTAGTATCGTAAACCCCCATTTGCCTTTCACTGTCTTTCGTTTGTAACTAGGCAGAGCGCAGACGGAGGTTCCCATGACTGCCTGCAGCCCTGAAAACTCAAATACGTCAACCTGCCCCTGCCGCCCTCTGAGCCCCAAAGCCTTGGAGAAAGAGTGCCGTGTTGTCTGAGTATCCGGACTAACCTAGTACACCTCCAAGGATACCCCGGAGCAAGTTCGCAAATTCGCAAGACCCCGACACTGCATGCAGGAAGCACGAAGCTCCTCTCTTGGCTCCACGTCGGAAAGGCAGACGCGCCTCAGATTCAGCCACCTATACGGCCCAAAGCCCTTTGGGGTTTTAGGGTTGATAAGGGTTTCGGGTTTAGGGTTTAGGTTTTAGGGTTTAGGGTTTAGGGTTTAGGGCTTAGGGTTTAGGGTTTCGGGTTTCGGGTTTAGGGTTTAGGGTTTAGGGGAACGGTCAAGTTTCTAAATCACGTGTCAAGCACATGTCAAGCTATGCCAAGCCGAAGCAAGAGAGGGACTTCACGGGTTTAGGGTTTAGGGCAAGTTTAGGGTTTAAGGGTTTAACAGTTTAAGGGTTTAGGGTTTAGGGTTTAGGGTTTAGGGTTTAGGGTTTAGGGTTTAGGGCTTAGGGTTTAGGGTTTAGGGTTTAAGGCTTTGGGCACCGCCTGCCAGCTCCCACTTCCTTTGTAACGCTTAGCACTGGGGGTGCAGAGTTCCAAGAGTCTCTGAGTGCACAGCTGCTTTGCAGCTTGCACGAAAACTGAGGGCGACCATCCGTGGTGTCTAGGTGGCACACAGTGGCCTGTGCCATTTGATGCAATTCCGATTTCGTCACCATGCGTTCACACCATGCGTTGCTGTCTTCCACGAAAGCCCTCGAGAGCATTGGAAAACTTCATGCGACAAGCCAAGCCCTTAGCACCAGCCTGACAATCACACGTTGCGTCTTCTCACCTTGAACCTTTTGGATGACCTTAGGTGCTTTTAGGCGCTGGCCAGTGTAAGGCATGGAAAATTCAAGTTCAGCTCAAGCCCATTCGTTTCTTGCAGAAATTCTTCCGCAGAACGAGCTGTACTGGGCCCGAAGGGGCTGTGGCTTTAGGATTTGGGGGTTTCATGGGGCGTCGGGCATCTTTAAGAATCAGAGAAAGATGCATCCCTGCAGAACCTGTGCCCTCTTCAGGAACTCTCAATTCCTGATGTCATCCGCCGGAGCCTGCACCACATACTGCCTCAGGAAAAGAAGCGCAAACCTCTGGACCCTGAATCTGAACGTGGAACTTTAAGGCAAACAAGCCCAGAGCAAAGAAGTCAAACACCTGCTGATCCAGGACGTTGGTCGCAAGCTAAACAAAGCGTGAACCAGGACAAAAAACCAATGCCAGCAAATTCCAGACGTCAACGATTGGAAGAAGCCGCACGGGCCATTCAGCAAGAAAGCGTTCGTCGAGAATTCGTGTGGCCATGGGTTCTGCAAAGCACCCACAATCCTTTCTCATATGGGCATTCCCTCAAGTAGGGGCACCCTTACAAACAACCCAAAATACAAGAAATCCTTATTATAGGAACCCCCAAAAAGTGTACCCCTATTTTTCGTAAACCCAAAAACGGTACCCCTATTTTCGTAAACCCCACCCTTATTACAGGAACCTCCGACAAGGGTACGCCTGCTTTCGTAAACCCCCACCCTTTTTATAGGAACCCCACAAAAAATGAGTACCCCTAGTTTCGTAAACCCCCACCCTTATTATAGGAACCCCCCCCCAAAAAAAAAAAAAATGGGTACCCCTGTTTTCGTAAACCCCGCAGATTACCATGTCGCAAGATCCTGAACCCTGACTTGCCAGGCAACACCTCGCCCTTGCGGCAAGCAGGCTCCGGCACCTGAGAGCGGTGTTGGCTCAGAGGGTTTAGGGTTTAGGGCTTAGGGCTTAGGGCTTAGGGTCTGGGGTTTAGGGTTTAGGGTTTAGGGTTTAGGGTTTAGGGTCTGGGGTTTAGGGTTTAGGGTTTAGGACTCGAGTCGTACTGGTCATACTAGGGTACTGGGACGCCATCTTTTCTGTTCGATGCTTTGGAGTGCCTATGCTTTGCGAACGATTTTGGGGGGTGTTTTTTGGTGTAATCCCCTGGTCTGCTGCTTGTCCTCTTGTTTAACGACAGTGACCCTAACTGAGCCCAATGTAAATGTCTGGAAATTAAATGTCTGGAATGGTGTTGAGAGTCAGCTGCTGCATTCAGCTGGCTCCCGGGTATGACACAGAGTTGCCAAAAGGGACTGCCCAAAGACTGGTTTAGGGTTTTAGGGTTAGGGCTGCGTTAAGTTGGTTCGCCATGTGGAGAATGGAAAGATATGCTTGGCCCAGGAATAAAACAGCGTAAAAGCAGCGAAAAGCTTGCCAGCGCCTACCGGTAGATTGACTGGTGAGAGAATGACATTCAAGAAACACACTACACGGATGGCTCGACTTGTCACTGTTCGAGACGAGAACTTCTTGGCAGTGTCGAACACCAATCTAGCAATCGATAGAATGGAAAGCTCGGGTGGAGTTTATAACGATGTAATGTTGTACGCGGTTTAGTGGGGCCCCCTGTTTAAGGTCAAGTTTGCTGGGCTATTCGGGACACTGTGACTCTTTGGGGGTGCACGGTGGGATCCTCTATTAAGCCAAATCGTCCCGGCGTCGTAACAGCACGCCCAGTTGCAGACACTCCTACGTGGGCCGAGGCAAGCCACAGTTAAACCGAGTATGCTCCTTAAGGGTTGGGATTGGGGATGTTTCAAGATCCTTGGTCCTGAATCATGGAGCTTGTCTACCCTAAACCCTAAACCCTAAACCCTAAAAACCCTGCCCTTCGCACTGAGCCCATCTGAGCCCCCAAACACGGTCACGAAATCGCCGGAGGAAGCCTTTGGAAAGGATACGGCTGGGCTATGGGCTCCTCTCAAACCCCACAAGTCCCCAACAGAGGTTAAGGGTTTAGGGTTTAGGGCTTCTGGGCGGGCTCAGAGGTTCAGACTGCCGGGGTTTAGGGGCCCTAGCCAGCCCAGGCGCCAGAGTCGAGGATGCGAGGCTTGAGGGGGTTGAGGGTTGAGGGTTGAGGGTTGAGGGTTGAGGGTTGAGGGTTGAGGGTTGAGGGTTGAGGGTTGAGGGTTGAGGATTCAGAGTCATGAACAAGGCAAACCCCTACTTTGCCCCTTGGGAAGAGATGCTGATCATCTGTTCTCCTTCTGGTGCCCCCATGGATACTTCCCAAGTCAATTGGATCCCGGCTAAATTCCAAAACCCTAAACCCTAAACCCTAAAACGATCCTCTCTTTAGGGACTGGCGAGACAACGACATCCGTGCCTGCGACGATGCCGGCCTTGACCAGCCACGCAGCCACTGCCCACTCCAGGTTCCTCCGCTTCAGCGGTTTTTTTTAGGTCTGCCATGCGCTGCCAATACTCTTTTGGAAAATCGCGAAGTGTGATGCAAAGCGCGTTGGCGCAGCCACCAGACGTGCAGCGTACTCAGGGTGTTTTCTCATGTAATGTTTAAGGCCTAGGAAATCTTTTCGGAGGAGGGAGGAGTAGTCGGGTTGGGACGTGACATCTTTCGTAAAGAATTCCATTGCCTTGAAGGAAACCAGGCCCAGCCAGTGGGGGGGAGGTGGACCACGTTTAGAGTTCTTCTGAATGCCTACCCTATCTTTGTATCCCGGGGAGAACGCTACATGGTGAATCGGGTCGTTGTGGGGGGCGTTAATGGAGGTGACTAGTTGGGAAAGTTGCTGGGACAATACCAGCTGTGAGGGGAGGAGTGGACGGTTGGCCTTCAACCATACTGCTTGATTGGAAATGCGGGAGTAGTATGATGCTTTTACTCCGAGGACTCTTCTCAGGTATCTAAAGAACCAAGAGTCTAGCTTCTGGAGGTGTTTGTCTTCTAGTGTGAGGGCGGGGATGCCGTAAGTGAGCACTGAAATGATGTTAGAGAAGAATACTCTTATTTTAAAATGGTTCGGAGAAGAAGATCTCCAGTATGGGGAGAGTTTCATGTAGGCTGCGTGCGCTAATGAGAATCTTTGCTGCAGGGCTGCCATCGTGGTCTCTTCCCAGGTGACAATGCTTCCTAGATATTTGCTCTGCTGAACCGTCTTTACATGCGTCCCATCTGTGTACCGCGGAGGAGTAGCCTGGAACGTCGGGTGTTCCAAATATTCGGTCTTTTCGAAGTTTAGCTCTAGGCCATATAAGGAGGACTCTACTTGTACACTACGCAAGTACTCCTCTAATACTTCTACCGAAACACCGAACAGTAAGGTGTCATCTGCGTATTCTAGGTCGTAAACCGGTTTTCCAACTGACCATGTATTAGTAGGAACACCTGTGCGGAGTAGCCTGGCGTCGACATCATGTAGCAACACTGTCATTACCATCACGAATAAATATGGACTAAGGGGGCATCCTTGACGGATGCCCGTGTGAGGAGTACCCCTAGCTTTATCACCGTGTATGCCTGTTGTGTAGAAAGTGGGTTCTGTATAAAGGTCTGAAATGATATCTAGATATGATGCGTGTATGCCTAGGCGGCGTAGGGAGATAAGCATACTGTGATGATCTACTTTATCAAAGGCCATTCGCCAATCTAGAAATAGAAGGTGAAAGGGTTGGCCAGTTCTAGAGGAGTAGTCTTGTAGTCGGCGTATGATATACAATGGCTGCGCTGTGCCTCTGTGCTTTCTGAATCCGTATTGTGTTGGGCGCAATCTGTGGTCATACTTGTCTGAAAGTCTTTGCTGAATCATTGCTGCATACAGTTTGTAGGTGGTACATAGGAGTGAAATCGGTCTGTAATTCGCCGTGGATGCGTCATCACCCTTACCCTTATAAAAGGAAACAACTCTCGCATCTTTCCATTCTTGGGGAATGGTCTTGGTTTTTAAGCACGAATTGAGTAGCGACAAAAGCTGCATTTCGCCGAAATGGTCGAGAAGTAGCAGAAGCTCTGGTTTGATGTCGTCCGGGCCCGGGGCTTTGCCTTTACGCAATTTGCCCAACGCTGATTGTAACTCCGACATACTGAAGGGAGGAGGAGTGGACTCATCAATGGGAAATATGTTCGCTGTTTCTCGAAGGAGGTCATGCTCTTCTGGTGAAATAGTGGACGGACCCCATTGGGAGGAGTGGAGGTAATCCCTAAAAGCAACGTGGGTTTTAGACCATGGGATTTGTCTACCGCTGACTACCAGGCGCCGCTTTCTCTCTGAAAAGCCCCTCTTGAGTTTGCGTAGCTTTTGCCAAATGTGAG